GAGAGAGAGAGAGAGGGAGAGAGAGAGAAGGAGAGAGAGGGGGGGACAGAGAGAGAGAGGAGAGAGGGAGAGAGAGAGAGGAGAGAGGGAGAGGTAGAGAGAGAGAGAGGGAGAGGAGAGAGAGAGAGAGAGGAGGAGAGAGGAGAGAGAGGAGAGAGAGGGAGAGGAGAAGAGGGAGAGAAAGGAGAGAGGGGGAGAGAGGGGAGAGAAAGAGGGGGAGAGAGAGGGAGAGAGAGAGAAGGAGAGAGGGAGGAGAGAGAGTGGAAAGGAGAGAGAGAAGGAGAGAGAGAGGAGAGAGAGAGGAGAGAGGGAGAGAGAGAGAGTGGAGAGAGAGAGAAGAGAGAGGAGAGGAGAGGGGGGAGAGAGAGAGAGGGAGGGAGAGGGGAGAGAAAGAGGGGGAGAGAGAGGGCGGGGAGAGGAGAGAGAGAGAGAGAGAGAGGGGGAGAGAGAGGGAAGAGAGAGAGAGGGAGGGAGAGAGAGAAGGAGAGAGAGAGAGAGAGGGGAGAGAGAGGAGGGGAGAGAGAGGGGGGAGAGGGAGGGGAGAGAAAGGGAGAGAGAGAGAGGGAGAGAGAGAGAGGGGGAGAGAGAGAGGGAGGGAGAGAGGGGGGGAATGACATGAGAGAAAGAGGTCACAGGTCAGATTAGATCCCGGGTCAGCCCACTTGGAGAGCATTAATAATTATGATGCATTAGAGTTTTACAGAACTTTCTGAAGTACTCAAAGACTCTTTACATAGAACAACAACAAAACAAAACAAAACAACAACAAAACAAAACAACGAAGAAATAATGTAGCAGATGGAGAATGGCGACAGAGTTTGTGCGTGATGTTGAAGAGGTGAGTTTTTGGGATTTCTTGAATGTGGAGAGTGGGGGGAGGGGGGGATATGTGAGGACCGATGGTCGGTCCTTTAAAAACACGTGGTATCAAAAAAGTTTGTTGAAAATTCCTGTTAAGTCGTCCAGTTAATGTAATATCAAACTAAACTTGACGCTGATATGAAAATAGCACTGGAAAAAAAAAAACAATGCATCTAAAAATACATTCAATATTGCCCGTACGCACTCCTCTTCTTCCTGGGTGTAGTGCGAGTAAACTTAAGTGAGAGTTGAGGTGAGACACAGAAATGTAGAAAGTTCCCCCTGTGATCGGGCAGAGACCAACAACACAGACCCCCCCCAAGCACCACCAGCCCGTCTGGTTTTCTCAGAAACACACTTGACTCTGAAAGTGTGAAGAGCTCATGTGAGCCGAGCGTTTCCACAGAGCGTCCTGTGACAGGTTTGAACAGGATGGAGAGAGGTGACACCATGGTTCAAAGAGGGACTTTTTAAAGAATGAGCGGTGAGGGAGAGGAGAGACGTGAGGACAACATGAAATACACTCACCAGTCGATTAAATAAATATCAGGAGTCAAGTTGTTTTTCTTGAAATGTGCAAAGAGCTTTGGTAGGTTTTCTTCAAAGAACACTTCAAACGCAGAGAAGTAAGTCAACATCTGTGGAGAGAGAGAGAGAGGAATATTAACACACAGAAACCACACTCAGCCGGGCAGTGAGTCATCTGGAGAGACAGACCACTCATTTCTGATTTCTGAGGTGATCAACTAACACGTCCAGAGTCCACCAAAACAAACAAAAAAAACGGGACAGGGTCTGTGCAGACACAGTCACCACCACACATGTATGGAGGCCCAGAAGCCACGACTGAGCAGCTTTACTTTAGTATAAGTCTGTATTTTATTTTGTAGGAAAAAGCTGCTGGCTCTACCTTTAAACTACTCATTTCATATTGTTATTGCATTGTATTCTTGGTCCTGACTCCTTGACACTGACATGCACAGATATATATTTGTATATATGTGTGTATCTATGTGTGTGTGTGTGTGGTTGTGTACTAACAAGGCTGTGGTCCACTCTGAAGAAGGCCATCTGACACGGCTTGTTGAGCAGGTTGGCAAAAGCTATGAAGGCGTCGGCTGTGTCCAGATTCAGGATCAGAACGGCTGCGATGAACGACATTCCCTGCACCTGCACGCACACACATATACACACAAACACACACACACACACACATAATGACACAAAAACACACGTTACAGGACTGCTTACACATTCAGACATGATGAGTGTGTGTAAAACATGTTTATACTTTAGCTTCCATCTTTAACTGTGAGGGCAGAGAGAACAACAAACGACCACCTGAAGACAAGTTCAGCTGTCGTTTGAATGCTGACGCAGACACATGCAAAGAAGAGGCAGAATAAACCCTGCACACACAGATTGATGCATGTGATGTGTGTGGAGCAGCTCGGGGGGTTGAGGTCAGTGCAGGAAGTCACAGTCATTTCCACCTTCAGCATAAACAGCGTGAGGCTAACCGCAGCAGCGTCTTAAAAGCACAATGTGGCTGTGAAGAGCTGCAGAGGTGAAAACATGAGCTCAGCATGATGCCAAATTAAAAAAAGAACTCTCTCCGTATGAAAATCACACTGGTACAAATGTAAACATCAAGTCAATGCTTCAATCCTCCAGGTTTGAGTAGATTAAATGGTGCTTTAGGAGGTTTAAATTGTTTTTTTATCTAACAGACAAACTGAGACAGAGTAGCAGAGTCAGGAGGAAAGAGGACATCTGGGAGGATTTGGTGATGAGTCACAACATCTCTGACTCTGCATGGAGGGAAGAGGAGGCTGCATGGAAGGAAAATAAATAAACATTGAGGTTTACAAACTGGGAAATCACACGTACACATTGTGAAGAAGTTCTGCTTAAACCACCGGACGCTGCGCTGCAGAGATGTACAGAACATAACGTCGACCTGAGGTAACTTCAGGTGTGCTGCAGCAGTACTCAGACTTCTTCAGACCTCTGGCCTCTGCAGTCCAGCTTTTCACCTGCAGCAGCTGTGTGCATCGTGTCTGTGTTGGTCTTCAGTTGGATCTGATTTACTGACGCTCTTCTCTATGAATTCAAATATAAAATATGAATGCTGAGTCTGAGTTGCAACCTTGTTCAGTGTTCAGGGGAACAACAGGAGATGACTTTAATGACCTTATTCTATAACTCTCTCTCTCTCTCGTACTTTAATTTTAGACCCAAGCATATGTAAAAGAATCAAACAAATACAAGAATAGAAGTTTAAAAAAATAAGCCTAGAAGTTCCTCAGGATCGATGTCTTCAAACTCAATGTTTGGCCTGGTTGCTTTTTCACATTTTTCTGAAGTTTTGCAGGTTTTCACTTGGTTTTGATTTTATATCGCTATGACGATGACTGTGTGCCATGTTCTTCTTCTTCCTTGAACTTATTAGAAGGCTGTGTCGCTTTGCTATGACGTCACGCTGTTACATCGCCATCCAGCTACACTCCGCCCAGAGGGTTGCTGGTTCAAGTCCCGGTGCGAACCACAACTATGGAAGTTGGTCTGGTAGCTGGAGAGGTGCCAGGTCACTTCCCAATTACTCTCTTGCTTTTGAGCAAGCCACCGAACGCCCAACCGCTCTGGTGCGCGCTCTATGTAGAAGCCCAACTCTCCATCTCTCCACTAATGCATGTCCAGGACGTCCAGCAGCGGTCTGCACCTCCGAGGTCGTCCATGAGGAAGTGCTCCGTGCTGACTATAGTCGCCTACAACCCTTAAAATGACTCTCACAAAATCAACGGGATATTTAAACATGCCGTGATTTGTGTAGGTCATTTATTACCGCTGCTGCACAGGAAGTGACGATTCAGAGGACTGCAGAGTATCTAATACCCTTCAGGGTCGGATCGTTACGCTTGGCACCCCAACAGAAGGGGAGCGAAAAAGGAGGACGGTACAGATCGGTTATTTTGGTATCATTCCAAACGCCAAAAAATGTGAACTGTAGTGAACCAAACTGAGCCGGAAAACAAAAACGATTATTTCCAGATTTTGTATTTTTCTTTGAAACATACAAAAAAAAGAGAAATGTAGACGATTTATAAACAATGACAGAACAAGAAAAAGTCAAACACCAAAGTTTCACTTGCAGGAAAAAAAAACACACACACACACACACACACACACACACACACACACACACACACACACACACACACAGTGGAAATGTGATACTAGAAGCTGTGAGTCATCCACACCGCAGTCAAACTTTGGTTGCATGTGTGGATAATAAACCGTGGAGGAGGAGGTGTTATGTGGGAGATAAAACTCTGTGTGGTTTCATTTTTGATCTTTATCAGAGTTCTACTGTACCACTCTGCTGTCTGATCAGCAGCACACAATACACAACGGTCATGTCAGTCTGTGACCCCCATGAAGATCACACTCCTTTTAATACCACGTGAGATTTAAATTCTAATGATTTACACATTCTGTCCACTAGAGGGCGATCTCGCATCAGCCGACCATAATGTTTGGTGTCAGCAGGTGACGCAGACTTTATAAGATTATTCATTAAATATAAACTTGTTGCAGATTAGCTGCAGAACATGTCTCTGGGTGGAGGATTAAGAGGAGGAGGAGGAAGAGGAAGAGGAGGAGGAGGAAGAAGAAGAGGAGAATGAGGAGGGAGAGGAGGAGGAAGAAAAGGAAGAGGAGGAGAATGAGGAGGAAGAGGAGTAGGAGGAGGAGGGGGTAGAAGAGGAAGAGGAAGAGGAGGAAGAGGAAGGAGGAGGAGGAAGAGGAGGAGAAAAAAGAAGAGGAAGAGGAGGAAGAGCAAGAAGAAGAGGAGGAAGAGGAGGAGAAGGAAGAAGAGGAAGAGGAGGAAGAGGAGGAGGAGGAAGAGGAAGAGGGAGAGGAGGAGAATGAGGAGGAAGAGGAGGAAGAAGAGGAGGAGGAGGAAGAAGAGGAAGAGGAAGAAGAGGAGGAGGAACAGGAGGAAGAGGAAGACGAGGAAGGAGGAAGAGGAAGAGGAGGAGGAAGAGGAAGAAGAGGAGGAGAAAAAAGAAGAGGAAGAGGAGGAGGAAGAGGAGGAGAAGGAAGAAGAGGAAGAGGAGGAGGAAGAGGAGGAGGAAGAGGAAGAGGAAGAGAAGGAGGAAGAGGAAGAAGAGCAGGAGGAAGAGGAGGAAGAGGAAGAGGAGGAAGAAGAGGAGTAAGAGGAAGAGGAGGAGGAGGAGGAAGAGGAGGAAGAAGAGGAGTAAGAGGAGGAGGAAGAGGAGGAGGAGGAACAACGTGCTGAATCTTTCTGTGTGTTTGTGACTTACATAGCCGACGTCCGGCCGGTAACACGTGTACGCTCCCAGAATGCTGTGCAGCACGTCATGATACGGCCCGCCCTGATGATCAACAAAGAAACAAGTTTAAAAAAAATACACCTTCAGCTTTACTGGAGGTTGCCATGGTTACCAAGACTCCATTGTGTTGCTGAAGACACTTTTTAATCTACCTGCTGGAAGATGCACAGATGTGGGAAAGTTCTGGAGATGTCCAACTTGATCAGCTCTAGACTCGACTCACGATCTGACGAACCAGCATCTGGAATATCCACAGAAAATCATCAGATGGGTATAATAACAGGTAGAAAAAGAGCTTCTTTTTCCACAGACATCTCTGTCATCTCAACTTAACCTGACAGAGTTCGACCTCTTAGTGAAGGTTAGATCCTTTTTTCGATTGACCGTGCAGGACACAGGAGTTGCTGTTCTACCTTGATTGGGTGGGAAATGACTTTTACACTCTGTTATTGAGACTTGCTACACACACATGCACAAACAGGATCCTATGGAGATGACAGAGTGAGGGGGCTGCACATAAAAGACTGCCTTAGCAGATGGTTGCAATACTGAAGGGCACCTCAGCAGTGCTTCAGACATGGTCCGCACCGGGACTTGAACCTGCGACCCTCTGGTTCCTGACCAGGGTGCTGAACGGATCTCACGCAACACGATCAAACTGACCGGTAAAGACCAGCAATAACCTGGCAAGTCGTGTTTTCAAAAAAGGATCTTATCTTGAAAAAAGGAACATTTCTGTAACAATCTTTTCTGTCAGGTGTGTAAGGTTCATTTTCCCCCGATTCATTCAAAAACTTAAACATTTAGAGCACAAAAGGGGTGAAATAGTATGGCAAAGGTTTGTTTGTGGATATGAACGTGGTGGATTTTAAAGGAGAACATGGAGGAAACCTTCTGTTTGTGTCTCTACCTTCAGTTTCCATCTCCGAGGCCGCTGTTGGCATGCTCTTCCACTTCTCTCTCGCCCGGGCCAGACAGATGCTGTACAGCTCTGCAGGGACACACAGGAGCACAGAGCGCGGTCAATAAGAGACAGAGAGAAAGGAGAAGGACAAGAGGCGCTGAGGAAAGACGACTGGACAGAAAAACACTACGGCTACGGCTCCTCACATTACTCTGCAGCAGTAACACTTCAGGTGATTCAAGGAAACAGATCTGCCTCCTTTCGTTTTGCTGCAGTGCATTTAAACCTCCATGTCTGTGCATCCACCCGTCGTCGCCCTCTAGTGATGAGGTGCACGACTGAAATTAAGAGCTCTCTGAGACACAACGTCTGGAGCACTTCTCAAAAGTTTGTGTCACTATTTCAAAACATGAAAGAACAGAGTCTATTGTTATTTTTTAAAGAGCAGCTAGTGGGATGCAAACATGATACGAAACAAATGTTCAGACCCCAAAGGTTCATGATTTCTTAATTGTCTGTAACTTTATTGGAGGATTGCAGCAGGAGTATAAGAGTACTATAGCTGTACATGCTAGCTTAGCACAGTTAGCATATTTAGCATCAGTAGAAATGTTAGCAGTAGCTTAAACTGCAGCTATAAAACATCTTCAGAAGAAAGGAGGCACATGAGTTGAGCTGCTACTTAAGAGGAGATGGACAACTTTGAAGAAGAATGTGGTTTGAATGAGTGTGTGTGTGTGTGTGTGTGTGTGTGTGTGTGTGTGTGTGTGTGTGTGGAGCGATAATTCACAGCTCTGTGCTCTATTTAAAAGACTGAGTTGTACAAAGCAGCAGAGTGAAGCAGCTCAGCAGTCAGCCAGCGAGTGCTTATCTACAAGGAGCCCCGAGGAGCTTTAGCGGAGTGGTTTGAAGTTCCATACCAAGTGTGTGCGTGTGCGTGTGTGTAATCTCCATTCAGACTCCAGAACTAATTGAAATGCCGTGCACTACCTCCTGTACTGCGTGGAATCATTGGACCATGCTACTTCTTAAAAGGCCATTCTTTATTTATCGGTCTGCCGTTAATTTTTTATTTTCAATTACAGAAACACGGACACTAATTGATACACAAATGTGTGTGTGTACACGTGTGTATGGACTGTCCTATCCTGTTGAATTGAAGTGCATCAACCAAATCAGAGCACTACAAATCAAAAGTTACGCATGTTTTCTGACCATTAAAGCAGCAGACACTCTCACACGCTCAGATACACACTCTCAGATACACACTCTCACACTCTCAGATACACACGCTCAGATACACACTCTCAGATACACACTCTCAGATACACAGATACACACGCTCACACTCTCAGATACACACTCTCAGATACACACTCTCACATACACACTCACACTCTCAGATACACACGCTCAGATACACACTCTCAGATACTCACGCTCACACTCTCAGATACACACTCTCAGATACACACTCACACACTCTCAGATACACACGCTCAGATACACACTCTCAGATACACACTCTCACACTCTCTCAGATACACACTCACAGATACACACTCTCACACTCTCAGATACACACTCACACACTCTCAGATAAACACTCTCACACTCTCAGATACACACTCTCAGATACACACTCACACACTCTCAGATACACACGCTCAGATACACACTCTCAGATACACACTCACACACTCTCAGATACACACGCTCAGATACACACTCTCAGATACACACTCACACACTCTCAGATACACACTCTCACACTCTCAGATACACACTCTCACACTCTCAGATACACACTCTCACACTCTCAGATACACACTCACACACTCTCAGATACACACTCTCACACTCTCAGATACACACTCTCACACTCTCAGACACACACTCTCAGATACACACTCTCAGATACACACTCTCAGATACACACTCTCACACTCTCAGATACACACTGACGCACCGTGTGTGATGTTGAGCTCGTTGCCCACAGCCAGGCTCCACACCTTCCCTCTGACACTGGGGGGGATGCCCTGCCACCAGAGGTCTCTGACCCGTCGAGACGTACACCTGCAGGAGGGTGAGACGGGGAATCAGACTTTAACACATCAGAGGTTGTTTTAAAAATTCTTCAGCACTCACTGCGTCAATTTAAGATCGCTCCTACGATAGAAAGAGTTGTCACCTGGCACTTCCGCTTCCCGAGGTAGTGCTTGTTAAGTCTGATTAAAAAAGTTCTGTGTGTTTAATATCTTCTTTTTATCAAAGGAAATATCACCATGACAACAGTTTAAAAGGACTTTTGTCCTGGTGTTAGCAGCAGCTCAAGGGGCTAAAACACACCCAGCTAACATTACAGAGGGAAGCAGAAGTTAACTTTGGTAACCTAGTAACAATAAGCACTGATGAGAAGCGCTCTGAAACTGACGTTTGTTGACAGGATGTTTTGCTGATGTCCCCTCGTTGCACCCTTACAGCTGCAGCTGCAGATAAGTTCACACTGATGGTCGTGTAATGATGCTGGATGTTCGGGTATTTCTGCATATGAAAGGCTAACTCTGACGCACTTTCTTGCCTAAATGACTGGTGCAACATTCTTGATAGTGATTCAACTTAACGCTTGAGGCAGACATGAAACTGGCTGCAGAGATTGCATTTAAGTTAAATCAGCTTAACTCCACCAAACAAAATCAACAAACAAAATGTGTCGGCCACTAAAAACTTCACATTTTTGTTGAGCCAGTTTTTGTTTGCACTCACATTGTACTCCAATTGGGTAAGATCTCCTGGTTCCAGATCTGGGCGGCTGTGCCGATGCTCTCCTCCAGTTTACAGCGATCCTCAAGCTGCTTCTTTCTCTTCTGAGCCTCCTTCAGCTCTGCACGCAAGAGAGAGGAGAGGAGGGAGCATTTAATCATTTAAAAAAAAGAGGGACTTTTTAAAAGAACAGGAAACCAGACTGAAGAGAGACTCCAGAAAACACAGAGGAAATCAAACGTCCTCACCTCTCTTCTTGGCCTGGGCCACCATCTCTTCATACTGCTGTCTGTGTTTCTGGGCCTCCTCGGCGGGCTTCGCAGGCAGATTACTGAAACACATAAACATGGAGGCAGAGAAAGGGTTAATACTGTAGCTGCGTGTTCTCCGAGCTTAACGTTCATTATTCATGGAGAGAAAGCTTGTGTGGCATTGTGAGAGAAAAATCAAACTGGAGCCGAAGTGGTCAGCTGTTTATTTGGTAAACGTGGCTAAATGTTGCTTACTTAAATATGTATTTTAAGGTATTTTTTTAGTTTTTTTTTCCTTTTTCAGATAGGACAGCTGAAGAGCAACAATGCAATCAAACGATATAAAGAAGGTCCTTCATTATGCCGCCTTTGATGGGATGCTAACATGAAAACACAGCTGTCACACACTGTGACCCAGTGAACCTCTCACTCAGTTAGTGAACAATATGATGGCAAGTTAAGAAATCCAATATTACATATTTTACTGCGTCGTGATTTAAGGTGTTGAGTGTTCTCAGCAGAGGATCTGTGTCACATCAGAATGGTTTCAGTACACAATTACATATAAAAAGTATCACAACATCTCCAATTCTTCTCACATAGACATTTACTACTGTAAGCAAATAACCCTTAAAGAGGACATATTATCCCCCTTCTCCACCTTTTCAAAACAGTCCCCTGTGGTCTAAATGAAACATCTGTGCTGTGATTTGGTCAAAATATAACATGAATCAAGGACCAGAGGAGGTTTGTGACCCTGTATAAACCAGCTCTCTCAGAACGCTCCGTTTTGGTGTGTGTGTCTCTTTAAATGAAATGAGCCCCCCCTGAGTTTTCCCCGTAGACATCACTCCTCTGTAACGAGGAGTGATTGCGGACCTGCCCAAAAGTTTTGTTCTAGGCTGGGGGTGGAGTCCATGAGTGGAAATACCAGGGGAGGGGGGGGATGGGATTTGTTTTTACCAGAATCCCACTGTGACATCACAAGGAGACCACATTTGAAACAGAGCACTTCTTCTCTGTGTTATAAGACTTATGCAGACCACAAACAAAGGACTGGATGGGTTTATTTCACATGTTGTGGGTCAGTAGACACTCAGGTTAACCAAATAAATGTTTAAAAACACTGCAGAAGTGGATTATTCATAATATGTCCCCTTTAAAATGCAACAGTGTGCAGAGTGTAATAGATACTTTTCACCAGCAGGGGGAGACAGTAAAGAGGGGAAACAGGTTCACAGCAGAAACTCAAATCTTAGTGAATGTAGTCGTCTCATTTCTTGCCATAAATATCTAATTACACCTCATACAAGCTACACTCAACTGTCAAGTCCAGGTAAAGATCTTATTTCAAGATATAAAAGGAAAACATGAGGCCTCTGATGCTTGTCATAAGTAAAGAATATCTACAGGGTGGTATAGGAAGTTTAGTGTTCAGTATCTTAAACTGAGGTGTTCTCTCTGATTTCTTCAGTCCAAAGTCAAAGTTCTTGCCCCTGCATTTGTGTGATTATTATCATCAATGAAGGCCGTATTTAGTGCTTTTTATATTTTGAAATACAATGTTTATCCGGACTTAATGGGACTTAAAATGAGTCATAAGACAAATACATGTTTATTAGATTCAGTCTGTGTCGTGTTCGAGGCAACATGCAGCAAAGATTTTCAAATAAAAAAGTAAAAAAATGTTTAGTTGACACGGGAAATCTGGCGAAGTTTTAGGATTGACTTAAATACAATCATACAAATTAAGAGTCTGTATGCTGAAGAAGCTGTGCAGTGGAGCCAGGCTGGAGGAGGGCGATTAAACTTTCAGCAGCTCTTCTCTTTGCCTGTCTAACGAGCGGGGAGGCTGAGAGAGCTGGGACAATAATGAAAGGAGTCTAATGACCCGGCAGAGGAAGAGAGGAGCGCTGATAAAGGAGGAATGAAGAGATAAGAAGACGACAGAGGACGCTTTATTGTTTGATAGAGAACTCCTCCCGCAGGGAGGAGAACAAGGGACAAGGGATAGTCTCAAACACCAAACATCTGAGACGCTATGAGTGTGTGTGTGTGTGTATGTGTGTGTGTGTGTGTGTGTGTGTGTGTGTGTGTGTGTGTGTGCGTCTGTGTGTGTGTGTGTGTGTGTGTGTGTGTGTGTGTGTGTGTGTGTGTGTTTACATACGCAGGTCTGTCCTCCAGTATCAGTGCGGTGGTGGAGAGGGGCTCAAAGTCCAGGTTTTTCCTCACACTCTTCCTGGGAGACGTCGGGTTGACGGGTCCAGCTCTGCCACTCTTTGTTTCATATTCCTGAAAACACAGAAACACAAAAAGACAAATTAACACACAAAATCTTCAATTATGATTTAATTCAAACCACTTCACAGAGTTCAGTGATTTCCGAAATCACTGCTGGCAACATGAGCGCCAAAAACATTAGCATACATAAAAAGGGAAGAAGAGAGAGAGAGGAGAGTTGGTGGATTTGTTTGATTTAAACACCTTTTCAAGAATAAGGCCTGGAGCCATCTAGCGTGTTTTGGTCTAAGCGCCACAGTCTTTTTAAAAATTGTTTTCAATGAGTACAGAGCGTGTGCAGCAGCAGGGGGTCGCTCCGAGCGATTGAAAATCTTTCAACTTTTCATCAAGGTGCTGTTGACGTCACCGGCGCTCTTTTGAAAACACAAGTTATTCCTCGTATTTTTACCTCCTACAAATCATGTCTTGTACCCACATCCTCTTCCACATGCTCCCTGTCTGATTATCTAAAATTAAAAACATACAGTAAAACGTAACGTAGCAGTGTGCTGTGTGTGTGTGTGCATGTCTGACTGTGTGTGTATGTGGACATAGCACTGCAAGCAGTCTGACAAGGCGCTACTGCCTGCAAAGGTCCAACAAGCCAATAGAGGCGACGATACAACATCATCTCCAGCGTCCTGCAAAGTCAAACTGCTGCTTTCCTTGGCGGCGTCTGGAGGCTTTGCAGAGAGCGATCTAACAAGTGTTTCTGGTTTAAAAATAAGGAATTTCAGCCCGACAATTAAGTCCAATTCTGTGGGGATTCTTTCTGTTATATAGTTACAAAGTTAAGTAAATATCTGAGACTGTCAGTGGCAAAAAGAAACCAACAGACATAAAAACACAAACACTAGAATAAGATCTAAGTCACACAGGAAGTCTTGACAGCTGTGTGCCGCTGCTCTTTTGGCCTGTGAGTTTTTGTCAGCTGGAGTCTAATGACTCTGCTGCACCTATGGGAGTGTTACACAGGCCGACACAAAGAGAGGGAGCCATGTGACGTGCTCGAGCTCAGGCCTCAGAGCAGTTGAACTAAAGGTCAACCATCAGCTGACTAACAGGTTCAGTGTGTGTGTGTGTTAGTAGCTCTGACTGTGAAACCAGCAGGCCGCTTCAGGGAGCTGGAGGAGCTCGCTCAGTTCAGAGAAGACACTTCACCGTCTAAATAGTTCATTAGGAAGTTACTGTAAATAGGGCAAGTGCAATATGAGCACGCACACACACACACTGATGTTTGTCCAAAATGGCCTCCGGCGTGTGTTAATTATGCACGCTGCAAGTAATCAGCTTAACACTGTGCATGCTGCTGCCACATGGACGTCCACGTTGATCAGAGCAGGCCACAATAAAGACGAGAAAATCTATTCTACAGAAGTGTGTGTGTGTGTGTGTGTGTGTGTGTGTGTGTGTGTGTGTGTGTGTGTGTGTGTGTGTGTGCGTGCGTGTGTGTGTGCGTGCGTGTGTGTGTGTGAGATGCAGCCCATGTTATTAATCTGCCGTTGTGTTGCTGCCTCCCGTTGCAGAGCCGCCTCTCTATTAGCCCACGGGGACAAATGAAGGTAATAGAATCTCATTGAATTTTGTGCTCGAGGAGGAGAGCAGAAGCATGAGGTGTGAGGAGGGACATAAAAAGACATAAAGCCAGCGTGTATTAATGATAACAGCAGTAACCTTGACTTATAGAGAAGTTCAGCGAGCTAAGTCTTTACAAATTCAATAAAAGTGCCATAAACCAAAAGAAAGAGCCATAACAGACGCTAGCAGCTCTGCACGGCTCTTCTTAGGATCAAACTGTGGTCCGAGTTTACGGCTAACTTCAGTGTGCTAAAATGCTAAGAGTGGAAAAAAAATGTAGAAGTACTCTGCCAAATTGTTCTAAATGAGTTGCTTGTTCTAAATGTATCCAGTACTAAGCTTGCCAACATTATAGCAATCATATTTATCTAATGCTCAACAGAGACCGCACACATTTTTGGCAGATCTGGTTCCGGAAGTACATTTTCTCATTCAAATCCTCCACTGACATTTCACAAAATCAAGACATTGAAGCCTGTAACCAAGACAACCAGCTACACCAATACTTGTGACTACAGTATTGTAGTAATGTAGTGTGACGTCCCCTTTAAAGTAATCCGGATTTGGAAAACCTAAAAGGAGAAATGATAAAGTGACTTTACTATATGATCAGACATTAAGGAAACATGTTGAAGTGCTGGCTTCTCTGACAACAAAGCAGCAGCCAGTATGTCCTCCTTCTAACTTTAGATTCTGCTCCTGAATGATCTGGATTTGTTTGGACCAGAGAAGGTAGGTGGTTTTAAGACACCCCCACATGGCCGTTTTGGACGCCCCTCTGTTTGTCAGATATAAGAGCAGTTATCAGGTCTACAGGTGTTGCAGTGATGGAAGCGGGCAAGAGAAGTGGTTCAGATAGAAGTGATTGTACCGACCTAAAAAGCCTCTGCATGTTTCTAATAAGCTCCACGAGCAGAAACGTGCTCAAACTAGGATCAATATTGGAGATGCTTTTGAAAAATGGAGAGAGGTTAGAACACAGAAAGGTTTACAGACTGATGCAGAGCTGGATAAACACTGAAGCTTCAGTGTCCACCACATGGTGACCTGTGTGAGCATCGACTGTAGAGAGGAGGGGGAGACAGCTCTCTACAATGTTTTATAGTGCTCCTTTAAATATCTGTAGCTAGATCAGGGTGATCACATTCAGTGATCTTGATTATGCGATTAACATACATTATCTTGTATGTTTTATTTGTCCAAAAAGCAAAACAACAGTCAGCCGTGTCTACATTTATTACTTTGCAAAGACTCATGAAAGGCCGAGGGCAAAAAAAGCGACCACATTTCAAAGTCATTGCAGGATCTCGTCTTATTTTCACCTCGACAAGAAGCAGCTGAAGTGGAAAAAAAAAAATGTTGAAAGAAAAGAAATCAGAGGAGAGTGATGTAAAAGAGGCAAGAGGAGACGGGAGAGGCTGAGATTAGAAAGCCTTCGGAAGCTCTCTGGGATTTGTTGGGGAGAGGGGGGAAGTGATGCAGGATGAAATGTGGGGAAAAGTGCAGCCGGAAGTTCAGAGTGCTAATGGAAAACTATACATACACTGCTGCTGCTGCTGCTGCAGAGAGCGAGAGACTGGACTCACTAGAGAGAGACAGAGAGAGTAGAGCTACACAGCGGGCGAGTCACCACTTTACTGTGTTGACTCTGATTCTTCTTTGCGAGGTTTCAAATCTGATAAAAAGCCTTTTTACTGACGTTTAATTTGTAGCGCAGTAAGCTGACACTTGTGCAAACAAAGCTAGAAAGGCCCTCCACGTTTGAGTCCATGTCATTAAAGACGTTAGCTAAAATACTTCAGGAAACAAAAACTGACGTTTGTGTTTGTGGAACCAGAAGCTTTATGGTTTCTTTGTTTAGCTTAATGCGACGTGTCAGCCTGTGTGTCTTCTGACTTAAATAATGGCTCTGTAGAGGAGCATTTACTGCTCTGCAAAGAGAGAGAGCTAAGAAACTGGATGTAGAAATTCAGTTGATCTGATGACTCACTCTCTATAGACTCTCTGAATTTAACCATACAGCTGAAATATATTCCTTTTGGTCAAATGTGCTAAGAAATCTGCTTTATTTGGAGTTAAAACTGAATCTGCATTCACCTGAAATGTCTCCAGTTATCCATTATTTAATAAGAAAACTGTACTTACACAAAACTAGGATGAGTGTAAACACATGAATTCAATCTATAGACTAGAGTATTTGCACATTCAGGGCGTCATAGTTACTCCCCTGCGCCGTAACACATGACACAGAATGAATGTAGAGACTTAAATGCCAATATTAAACCTTTGAGGAGTCAATATAAAAGTACAAATGTATGATGACAGCAGAGCTTTCCTGCAGCGCAGTTGCACAAACTGCACTCTGGAAAGTGTTTGTTATGGACGTAAACAACAGGAAACGTGTGTAAAATGATTTAGTTGTCTTTTTGTCTCTGAAGTGTGTTTCAATAACCTGTTCACATCCTGAAAGTGCGCGCTGCAGGTGGATTTACAAGCACAGGTAGAGTTCTGCACCCTGAGAGAGAACGGATACTGCAGAGAGAGGGAGGGGAGAATAATCTGGCATCTGTTCAAAGGGCTTTGCAGGAGCTAGCAACAAGGTGAAACACAAGACATGCAGGACGAGAAGCTGGACAGAGAGAGAGGTGTGTGTGTGCGAGAGAGAGGGAGGAGGGAGAGAATTTTCCTCCTGGTGTACAGTGACGAAATTGGACGGAGATTCTTCCTGGATACATCACTCATTAAGTCGGGGAAGGATTCTGGTTTGGGGCATAAATGTTTGGACCAGACGATTAGGTAATAAGAGAGGTGACAAGCCGAGCCCGACCGATATAATGTTGGCCGATATCAGCAGATCACATGACTACCGGTATCGGCTCATTTCATCGCTTGTCAAAGAGTTTGATAACAGGATTTGAGATCAACAAAATACACGCGTGTGTGTATTTATCTCTCAAAGACTTGAAGATAGATTTAAGAAAGATATCGGCCGATATATCCATGTCTGATTTTTCTCTCTCCCTAATATCGGTATCGCCCCCAAAATCCCATATCGATCGGGCCCTAGTTACAAGATTCCCTCTAAAACTACTGGAACTGCTAGCAGACTCATTTAAGCTGCACAGAAATAGTGAATTTTTAGATGTTGAGGATTTCAAATCTGTTTGTTTGAATCAGCCTGAGGGGAGAGATATCCTTAACACAATAATAACGCCCCATGAGCTGCTTAGATTGCCTTTCAGTAACATCAGATTTCTTGGAAAACGTGATGCATTGATTCCTCTGATCTCCTCGCTCCTCATTGTCTCATGCTGCTCAGTTCAGTTAAATCTTAATGAATGACCAGCTGGTAACACAACAAGAAAGTCTGATTCCTAAATATGATTAAACCTTCATCAGTTGTAGCCTCTCCCCTCCCACTCCCAGGGTGAAAC